ATCCAACTTGACAAGGAATCTTTGTTCTTTAATCCATGTGCATAAAATTAACTGTTTTCAAAACAAAAAAAATGTAACAGGAATTGGACAAATAAAGTAAGTAGCTAATCTGCAGAATTCTACTAATTTTAATAATTATATTTTTCATCAGATCCAATGCTCATATTACTTCAGACCTGCCGTCCCTTCCAATTTCATCATCCTTAAATTATGAACTGATGGAATAATAGCAAATATTATGAAATAACAATCATGGCAGTCAAAAGGAATTCCAGCTTTTTCATGTTCAATCTGGATCTGTGGTTTGGTATTAGACTTACTGGAGTTGGTGAGGGAACCAATCCAACATTCCAGGAGTAACTTGGACACTTTAAAATACCCATATGTTTCATACAAAACACCTCCATGATAGCATTTTGTTGAAATTGTGTTTAAGAAGCAAAGTCGTGAAGATGGAGAATTTTGAACAGTCAGCATATGGGTATAAAAAGACATAGTCAGCTCCTAGGAAAAAATAGGAAAGTCAATAGTTATATTTATTAGTACATCATGTCTGGTTGAGTATGTCTTTTGGTGGGAGATGCATTTGACATGGCTTCTTAAAATTGAAACACAAATAAAAAAAGATTTAATCGGGTTGAGAAGTCTCACAAGAAGCCTTCCATTCCAGTTCATAGGGTTTGGCACCTTAAGGTACATGTGTTCTTACAAACTTCTTAGTTGAACATCATGTTTGCCTTTACTGCATCAGTCTCAGATCACACCTCTGAACTTAGCATGTTTCCAAATATATTATTACACTGGACAAAAAAAATTGGTCTAACTTGAGGAAATATTTTGACTGCCACAATGAGGTCTTGTTAGGGCTGGCAGGTCTGTTATACTGTACTCTTAGAGATAAAATGGAGATTAGTTTGCATCAGATCTCTCAAGGTTTTTTAGGCAGTATGTAATAAAGTTTTACCAGTCATGAAATCTTGTGGAAACTAAGCTGGACCAAAAGTGGCAGGCTTATATCTATGCTGCATTGGCAGGATACAACATTGATGGCCCACTCAGAATATGAAACATGCATGCACATTATGCAGTGACAAAATAATCTGTGCATTTTTCCAAGCTCATCATGTTCCTGTTAGTGAATTATGTCCTTTTCCAATAATGTGAATTGTGTATATGATCATTGGAAATGAGGAAACAGATGGTTTGGATACACTGGTGTTACACTGATCTGCCAGCAAATTCATATTTAACATAGTAATAAATTATAACCATCTACACTACTTGCAAACAAATGTCATCACTAGAGGTTATTTATGAACATTAGCTTTTTTTGCTCATAGATTTAGATTTTGAATTTGAGTGATACAATTAAACTGAGTTGTTCTTAGAGTCTTCCTTTATATCGAGTCCAGCGATGGAATTGAATGAGATAAAAAGTTAATAATTAAGTTGTCAAAAAATGTATCATGCTTTGCTAAAGCTACAATGAGAATGTTATTCAACTGAAAATTTGCAAAACTTGTTGACTATTCATTAAGTCTAACTTTTTTATAGGCAGTCCATCATAACTAGCTAATTGTGCTGCAAATAGCATGGTATAAAAGAATAAAAGGCACATTTTGTTAATCCATGTATAATTTAATCCTAGATTGAACTACAAGGTAGTCTCTGTTTTCATGTGAACACAAACTTCTAGAATATACAAGAATAATAGACACCAGTGTCATTTAAATTATCAGCTTTTATTTTTTTTGTTCATTAAAATCAGGTGATCAGAGCATTCATATTTAAAATAAGCAAATGAAATTAGCTAATTTGTCTTGCAAAATGTTAGTTTAGTACCTTCAATAAAAGTAAGAATTAATATTTCCTTTAAAAAAATTTAAATTTATCTATAATATACCTTATATTATATGTTGTCAGTATCCCATTTTTATATTTTTCAGGATCCAGTGAAAGATGGTGAGAAGAAAATCCGACAAGAATTTGATGAATTGATGGAAGAGATGCAGACACAATTCCGCAATTTAGAAGATTAAACAAGATAAAATTCTTAGAGAGTAATTTTGTAATTAATAAACAGGTTAAATCTGATTGGAATAGAACTCAGTATTGTATTTCATGTACCATTTACTTGTGTTAAATGTTAGAGTTAACATTGCATACTTCTGCTGGACAAAATTACATCTCATGGTTCAGAAAGATTTCGTCTCAAGCAAGAAATGTTGGAGACTGTACAGGTATCATTATTGATCTATTGACTTTTTGTTAGAAATCTAGGTTATTGAGAAGTCTTTAGTGAATTTTTTACAGAAAAAAAGTTAATGACAGTTTATGGAACAGCATATGAATTGATAAAAATATAGTATTGCAATAAAATAGTATGATATATATTTATGATCATTGCGTGCAAGAACAGTGCTTTACTGTTGCAAAACAAAGCTTTGGTAATGCTCAGTTGTCTGCCCTTTTGTTTGCAAATCTATACAGTTCATACAGACTTGTTTTGAATGATAAAAATGTAGCATTGCAATAAAATGGTATGATGTATGTATTTTTGATCCTTACATGCCAAAACACTGTTACAGCTGTGGTCAAGTAACATTTGATATTAATGTAGTTGTCTGCCCATTTTGCTAGCAAGCCTTGTACATTTCTTACAACTTAATAATGAATTGGTACCTTTTTGATTTATGTACCTATAACTTAGGTCAGTAAAAAGGTTTGTTTTCTGTATTAGTAATGAAGAAAGATCTTTACATCAGATATTTTAAGTTACTTTTAGTACATTATTCCCTCTTATCCTTTTTGAGGCAGTGAAGTGTCATGAAAGAGAAGAATACTTTCATTTCATGTAGAGAAGTTTGTTCTGGATACTAGATATGTAAATCCAGATGTGCAGATATATTTTGTTTTACAAATACTCTTTAACATAAAAATAATATATTGCATAACAGTTCATTTTCCGAAGTTATCGACAGAATATAGAGTTGATATTCAGAGCACTGTATTTTATTTTGGCAGTTTTTAAAATAGATTTTGGTCATATAATATTTTATGATCATATGCAGTTACCTTAATAAATGAAACAATGCCTTTAATTAGACTCTTTGCTTTAGTTGCATCCAAAAGTTTCAAACTCCCATACATTCCCATCAAAAGAATGTTGTAATATCTGCCACTTGATTAATATTATATCTTAGTGTTCACTGCCATTCTTTCAGATGAAATCATTGCTTACAGGTGTAAAAATAATGATATTTTGCTATCACAACCTTTACAAGTATTATTGACTTTAAACAAATTACTGGATTCTCTAATGGTTTTAGGGGAAATAATTTTTTTTCCAATGGAGACCCAGCAAGTAATGCACATGTAGAACAGTAAAATAGTCATCTCCAAAGAGAATTTGCAACATTAGAATCAGTATCTAGAGGAGTAGAATTTAGATATAATGAATGTCTGAAGAAAAGTGAAGCACATGTTGAATTGAGAATTTGTACAGTTGTGCAGACAGCTACATGACTTGGAGCAAATTGTTGTATTTGCCCCATCTTAGAGAGCTGTAGATATGTGGTGTATACACTATGATAACCAGTATGTACAGAGTATAATATATAAATATATGAAATAGATCCCTTTTATCTGTTGTTCTACATAATAATTGGAATCGGTAGTATGTCAGAATTATATAATAGATTGTATTTTTGTGTATGAAAATCTTTCATTTTTATTGTAATGAAATTCAGAAGACATGCACATCTTTAAAGATTCAGGATACCTATATATTAAGTTCATTTCTTTCATTTGCAATAATTGTTATTTTTTAACTTTGTTAAAGCAATCCGATACATTTGTTTGTTTTTTTCTTGGTTCTTTGTAATGTGTTCAGATTATACAATGAAAACATTCCATTTAAGATTAGTTAATTTTGTATTTAGTGCAAAACATTTATTGGTATCAAACCTATACACTACTGCAAAGTCTTTTCAAAGATGTGCCATTGTGGGATTCATTCTAATTTCTAAAGAATTACACTGATAAAGCAACCTAATTTTGAGTTGCACTGATAAATCAACCAAATTTCTAAAGAACTACACTTATAAATCAACCAAATTTGAATTGAATTATATTGATAAATTAAAAAAAAGTCTTAAATAATGTTTTTAATTTCACATTAGTTTCTCAAGCCCTACTTCTATTCATTAAATCTCTCTTGTCTTCAGGGAAATGTCTCTCCTCCCCAATTATTTTACAAAAAAACCTAACTTGTTAAAAAAAATGTCAGACTAGAGTTACAAATTAAAGATAAATTTACTGGGTTTTTTTAATGCTTTCATTGGTTGTCATATTGTGATATAGCAGGGATTCAGTTAACATAGAGTCTGAATATTGTTATATATGTTACTGTAGTATGAATAAAATATCATAATTGAATTCAAAGGTTAGCTAACATTCAGGTTCGATAACTTTGAGCTAGACTTTGAATATCATTTTCCATCAGTCAAATGATATAATAGTTGTGACATTTTTCATAGACATGGAACAAATTTCATTTACCAACTCATGTTCTTAGGACCAGATCAAACATGCAAAAAGCAGGATATTGTGACCTAATTGTTAGATATTTATAGCATCAAAATTGTCACCATGACCAGATATCATGTGAACTTGAGGATATTCCTCATTAATGTAGATTATATTTTGTTAAAGGTATCTAGTCAGGGATTTTGTCAAAACTTTCTGCTTTGGATTTAAAATGTTAAATATTAAAGATATTAAAACCTTTAGTGTTGTCAGATTTTATTACTTGATTATTTCATATTTGTGTAAATATGTCGCTTTGTATATATTAAAATCAATATTTCCACAAGCAAGGTTGTATTAGTTTCATATTGTTTGTGTCCATGCAAATAGGCATCAGCCAAATGTGCAAATTAATAAAGGTTTCATGGAAAAAAAAAAAAAATTTGTAATTGACTTACTAATTTGCAATAAACCACTCTGGTGGACTAGTGGTTAGAGCAACTGCCTCGGATGCAGGAGGTTGCAGGTTCGAACCCTGACCAAGTCATACCAAAGACATTACAAAATGGTACTAACAGCTACCTCGCTTGTCTTTCAGTTTAAGAGGTTAGTGTTAGGACTGGGTGGGATATCATGCAACATAATGCCCCAGTGCTAGACATCACTATAAACTGTCATACTGCAGACATGTAGCGATATGACTAAAAACATTTTAAAGCTTTATTAAAAATCTAAATCACAACAACAACTAATTTGCAATAAGTCTAAATCTTATATATTGTTACTCTTATAATGCAGTTTAACCTTTTTTGTCAGAAGAAATGATATCACCGAAGTTCAGAAGCATTGCACAAGCATTTTTGAACTAATAGATTTCTCCATTGAATACATTTCCCAATAAAATTAACATTAGGAAATGAAACTTGCTACCTCATTAATCCTGGTAAGACGAACAAAATTTCTTTACCTGTGTATGCATTATATCAACAAAAGGAAGAACTTTTTATTACCTCCCCTGTCCATCAGTAGAAGCTTTTGTTCTGCACACACACACAGACACATTTCTGCATGCAGTCAAGATCATATTGCTTTGCCTTTTAGATTCCATCTTTATTTTGACAGATCTGTCCAGAAAGCCAGTGATATACTGTGAATTATGTATTTGATACATGTTTAAGTCATTAATTTTTGAAGTCATTATTTGCACTAGTTCAGGGCTGTAGGTCAGCCCAATGCAACATGCTTAATTTTTCAAAAGGCCATTGCTCTGAATTGTCATATTTCCAGCCTTTTCATGTAATTTGAGCTGAAAAGACTGTAATGCCAGTATATTGTGGTCTTTGATAAAACATCACAATGATTTTTGGGTGAAGCTATTTTTTCAAGAACCTTACACATAAGACTATTTTCTTGCTCTTGTTTGCATGTTTGAGTCGGCTTCATGTGCTGTTTACAAAACATGGTTCAACAGCAATTATGAATATCTTCTCTACCTGTCAACCATGTATTTTGTAAGCAAATATCCAGGGTTTTTTTCAGTAGCTCTATTCCATATAAATATCCCAAGTCTCGGTTGTATTTTTGCTGGGAATGATCAGGATCAACTCTTGTGACCATTTCAGGCCATTGCTACGCAATGGTTCTATCTAAACAGTTCATTATTGGATGATGTTATGAACACAATTGTTTTTAAATACACCTTTATATTTTTGGTGCACCACACTCCAGGTGTATTTTCAGTTGCCCATATTACACTAAAGGTGGCCCAAGCAGATACAATGTTTCATTATAGTTGATATTTGTACCATAAGGGTGACTGTGAATGGGATTTAGATTTTTTAACATAGCTTTAACATTTTTTCAGTCGTATTGCTACGATGTCTGCAGTGTGACATTTTATAGTGGTGTCTAGCACAGGGGCATCATGTGGCAAACATGCAGCATGATGTCCCACTCAGTCACATTATCCTGACACCAAGCCGACCAGTCCTAATAACACTAACCTCTTAATGCTGAGCGCCAATTGAGGCAGCTGTTAGTACCATTTTTATAAGTCTTTAGTGTGACTCGGCTGGGGATTGAACCCACAACCTCCTGCAGGCAGACACTGTAACCACTAGGCCATCAGAGCAGTCTAAAATCATTTGTAATGAACTCTATAAATAATCTGTGCACAGATCTAATTTTTGAATACTTTGAACTAAAAAAGTCGTTCTTCACGAAGCAAAAATCTTAAATTTTAAGACAAATAACCTCGAACTGAACCAAAAAAATAAATATATTTTACCAGTTTTTGAGGCCAATAACCTTGCAGGGAACTGGCAAATACAGTAACATAATAGGTTATGTTTTGCAGGCATAACAATGTAGTATTTTGGGGATGATGCTAGTTTTAATGATGTAATGTATACCTAGCAATATTGCCATTTTCTTTCCTCCCACCCTGTTCTGATGTCCAACAAATAATCTGCATCCATTAAAGGATGATGGTTACTCTGATTTGAGGAACAAACTGGGTCTGTGTTCTTTCTAGGTGTGAAATTTTTAGATCTCTCCATCTGATGTATTTTGACAGCCCACTGAACATTTGCACACTCTCCCCCCATGCATGACCTTTGGGCCTGAAGTCTGGTGTGTGGTTACTTTTGATTGGCATATCCACTTGGTATATATCAGTCTGCAAAAGGGGCACTGTCCATGCCACCAGGTATGTTCTACTAGGACCCTTGCATGGAATTTGGGACCAACTGAACTTAATACATCTCCCTCTCATACAGATGGAGCCATTCCTCATTAATTTGGTAGCAGTTCTGGAATTTTAGTCGGAATCACTTTGTTCAAATTTTTTTTCTTTTCTTGCCTTATAAATTCTGCATAAGTTTCTCTCAGCTGAAGTTCAGAAATTCAGTTCAATGTCACTGGGACTGGACAACAAAACGATACCCTAACTAGGTGCCATGAATGAAGATGAGGCTTAGCCAATGTTTTTGTGCACTTGTATCATAATGTACCCCCATTTTATGTATCCATAACCAGTAGGCATCCTCAGGAACAATTTTGTATCTGCTGACAATACATTTATAAGTGTTGAAACCAGATGGCTGCAAAGCCATTCTGATACTCCAAAACTTTATCATTGTCTTCATGGTCTTTGAAATTTTTTACACCAGCACTAATACTGGTGCATTTATGTTGTTAATTTCTGACATTGTTGCGTTAGCTGCTGGCAGGTCAAATTTGACCTGTTTATGCTTTGTCTTTAAAATATAGAGTCAATGTTGACTACATAAACTGCATTCTTTAAAAAGTAAAAGATTTTCTTTGGAGGTAGATCATTGAAAAACTTTATGAATTTACATTAAGGAATATCAGTATCACAAGGTGGAAGTTAATGCATCACCATGTTCCACTGTCTATAGTACACCCTTCATTAGGTGTGCAAAGATCAATTAAATGTCTTGTGTAGAAAATCAATACCAGTTTAACACTGATTTGTTGTATAAGAGCGATGATGCTCTTCCATGATGGGTCTAGTGATGTGAAGCCTCTTTATGGAGAGTGCTTTTCATGTACTTTGACTAGTACATGTTTATTAAAGGAAATCCGTAAGGATGTTGTTTGAAGTACATTGATTCCTCCATTTAGAAACTGGTAACTACAGGCTCAGATTGCTTTATCTGCCATTTTATCACTCATTCTGCCATTGACAAAGCTGATAAATCTGCACTTAAAACTTTTGTTTTGTGTATCAAATATATAATCATTAAACAAATGAAAATGTTGCTAAAACTCTGCCAACATTTGGCTGTGAAAGTGTAAAAGTCTTTCTAATTGCATACAGCACTAAAACTTAATAATTATCTCCCATTAATTTGCCTCATAAATTAACTGATGAATAACGATGATGTATACAAGTGTTTAAACTCCATATGGTTAAAGCTTTATGAGCCAAGATGAACATGTCTACTTATCATAACAGCATCTTGTTGTTGGTAGGGTTTAACACTATTTTTCAGCACAAGATAGGCTATACATGGCGGCCAGTATTGATGGTGGAGGAAGAACCCTGGGTAGAACCACCGAGCCACAAGAAACTACTGGCAGGCTTTCTCACTTACCCACATTAGCTGAGTTTAAACTCAAACTCGTGCAGACAAAGGTGAGATGGCAGTGATCCATAACAGTCAGCACTTTAGACCAATTGGCCAGGCGGGGTCCCAACAGCATCTTGTACAAAGGTCAAAATTATTGCTTGTCAGGAAAAAAAACTAGAAAGAATGACTGAATTTATATATTTGGGAAGTTTTGTTTTAGTTAACAATAAAAAAGTTGTATAAAAATCATGCAGAATAGTGACACAACAATTTTGAATCTGTACTCCTATTTTAAAATCAAAAAATGTCTAGACATCAGTGAAATACAGTGCCTCTGACAAGCTCAGAATTCTAGGTGTCTAGCCATTATTGAAACACTGCCTTAGATGAGCTTAAAATTTAGGTGTCTAGCCATTAATAAGATACACTGCCTCAGAAAAGCACAGAAATGTAGGTGTCTAGCCATAAATGAAACATTGCCTCAGATAAGCTTTAAAATTCTGTGTCTAATCAGTGAAACACTGCCTCAAGCAAGCTTAAAATTCTGTGTCCAGCCATCAGTGAAACTCTGCCTCAGACAAACTTAGAATTCTAGGCATCTAGGAAACAGTGATACACACTGACTCAGAATTGTAGATGTAATTACATGATAAATCACACACTGCTTAATACTTGTTACTTGAAATTCAAATAAATGACTTACAGCTAGTGGTGGATATCAGAGATTTATCAGTTGATAGCAGTCATTCTAAATGTTAGGTTAATGTATATTTCATGTAATTGTTCATATATAAAAAAAATGAAAAACTTGCAAAGAGCAAAATTAATGTGTAGAAAATGTTAATTATCATTTTGAGGAAGAGATCATGTAAGAAAAAATAAAGTACTTGACAGAAGTATTCCAAAATATCTATATGATAACAGGTATTAAGTTCATTGGCATCAAACGATTGAACTAAAGCGGCATGCACTAGAATAATATGTTTTATAAATTTGTATATTGGAACAGACGAGTTAGAAAATGAATAACCAAAACACAGGTATTTTATCACATATTTTCTTCTTGCACCTTGTTATCAAAATAAAATATGACCCAAAAATAGAGATTTAAGTCCTCCATGTTATCTTAATGTCCCATACTGGCTCTGTTTAGCTGAAGCTGATTCAAAGAGAAAACTGCATGGAAACTATAACTTAACAAAAATTTACTTTAGCTTGTATTGAAATAGTCATAATATTTATATTCATATAAACTCCATTTAATTTAAATCACAAAAATGACTATTTAGCACAGTTTTCTTTGCAAGTACAATGATCTCTTCTTTTGTACCTTAGAAAATCATCCTTTACCAATAAGTGTACATCCCATTCTTGTATTTGGGCAGCATTTAATTTGATTTCTGCTTGTGCAATTAGTAGTTAAAATTAATTCAAAGCTCTGTCACTGCTGTTG